GTTCCCTATTAATGTAAATTTAAAATCCAATTTTTTGCAATCACAAACAATGCCACAAGAATCATTCTTGAATTGTTTTTGGCACATATGGAAGTATTTCCACAGGGTCAATATATAAATATATTATTTTCTTGAGACAGAGTCTTACTCCATTGTCTAGGCTGGAGTGCAGTGGCTCAATCTCAGCTCACTGCAACCTCTGACTCCTGGGTCCAGGCCATTCTCCTGCCTCAGCTTCCCGAGTAGCTGTGATTACAGGCACCTGCCATCATGCCTGGCTAATTTTTGTATTTTTAGTGGAAATGGGGTTTCACTATGTTGGCCAAGCTGGTGTCGAACTCCTGATTTTAGGTGATCCACCCACCTCGGCCTCCCAAGGTGCTGGAATTACAGGTGTGAACCACTGCACCTGACCCTAAGGGTCAATTCTTAAAAAAAGATTCACTACCATTAAGTGTCAAAAGTGTAACATGTTGCATGTTGCACATTTAAAATTTTGATACTGTCAAATTACCCCACTGTGATTATGTCTTTATTGATCTGTACTCCTACCAAAGTGTTTAAGTGCTTACTTACCTGCAACTTTGCCAATACTGGATATCACCAAACTTCATTATTTTTGGTTTATTTGGTGGGCAAAAATTAGTATCTAACTATTTCAATTTTTCTTTCTTAATTACTAATGAGGGTGAGTTCCTTTAATAAATGTATTGATAATTTGTATTTCACCTGTAAATTATCTGTTTATAGCCTTTGATATTTAAATATACTTTGCTGAGAAGTATAATTTTAAGCACTCTATTACAGCCATTAAGCAACTGTCTGTCACAAATAATTTATTGCTATCTTTCACTTAGCTCTCACCCATGTACATTATAGCTTTCATTGAACAGAAGTTTTTCTTGTTTACATTGCTAATGCTTTTTGGGCTCTCACATATTGTTAGGAAAAGCATTCCCAACCTGATTCTATTAAATATTCTATATTTTCTGCTATTCTTTTATAGATTTTAAATTATTTTTACCTTTCTAACTCCTTAAGCTGCCTGGAAATTACTATTATATTGTGATAAAGAGCTAAAATTTAATTTTTTTCAAATGGGTTCCAGTCTTATTTGTTGGAAGACATACTCTTTTCCTAATACATTGAAATAACTTCATGGAATAATAAATTCCTACATATGCATGAGTATGTTTTTGGTGTCTGTATTCTTTTGACAATATTATATTTGTAGACATTATTTTAATTGACGTTTTCTATTTGACAATACAGTTCTAACCCATATAATATTAAAGATAGTTTTCCCAATGCTCATCCTTACCTCCAATTCTTGCCTTTTTTATTTTCAGATTTTTCTTCGCTAGTCTTGTGCACTTTCTCTTTCAGATAAGTGTAAGCATATATGTTAAATTTTATAAACAAACAGGCAAGCAAACAAACAAAACCTCCAAAGAGGTTTTGTTTTACTTGCAGTAAACTGACTATTTTAGAACATTTGGGGATAATAAACATCTTTACAAAAAGGGCTCTTCTCATATGAGAACATAGCATAACTTTTCCTTAGTCTAAACTCTAGAATTTTTTTTTTTTTTTTTGAGACAGAGTCTCACTCTGTCACCCAGGCTGGAGTGCAGTGGTGCAGTCTTGATTGACTGCAACCTCCGCCCTCCAGGTTCAAACTATTCTTCTGCTTCAGCCTCCCAAATAGCTGGGACTACAGGTGTGTGCCACCACGCCCAACTAATTTTTGTGTTTTTGGTAAAGACAGGGTTTCACCATGTTAGCCGGGCTGGTCTTGAATTCCTGACCTCTGGTGATCCATCTGCCTCCACCTCCCAAAGTGCTGGGATTAAAGGCGTGAGCCACCATGCCTGGCCTTAGAATTTTCTTCATAACATCTTAAGAATGCTTACTAAGTTCATTTCAGTTTATGACTTTTTGGCTATTTTGATGTGTTTTTCTCCCATTCTTATAAGTTCTTTTGTAATAAAATAATATTGTAATATAACATATTAACAAATATATAACAATAATTGCTACCATGTAAGAAACTTGTTTCTTTGTATTTGTACATTGTCTTTTGAATGCTATAGTTCAGAAAAATTCTTACCATGTTTTTGTTCTTTATGAATTGTCCTGGAGAGTCTAGTTATGAAGCCATATAATCAACAAACTTGACAGTTTTGTTCTGTTCTGTTTCTTTATAAATTCTATACCTTTTATTTGTGATGTACTGTCAAACTGTGAAGAGTGATGATTGTTATGGTCATCGTGGTCTTCCTTCTTAAGATAATAAAAGCATTTACTTGTTTTTCTCTCTTTTTTTTTTTTTTTTTTTTTGAGACAGAGATGGAGTTTTGCTCTTGTTGCCCAGGCTGGAGTGTAGTGGCACGATCTCGGCTCACTGCGACCTCTGCCTTCCGGTTTCAAGCAATTCTCCTGCCTCAACCTCTCAAGTAGCTGGGATTACAGGCACCTGCCACCACAACCGGCTAAGTTTTGTTTTTTAGTACAGACAGGGTTTCATCATGTTGGCCAGGCTGGTCTCGAACTCCTGACTTTGTGATCTGCCCGCCTTGGCCTCTCAAAGTGCTGGGATTACAGGCGTGAGCTACTGGGACTGGCCTACATTTTAATATTAAGGTTAATGTTTGATGGGTATTTCTGGTAGATACTCTTCATTATGTTAAGGTATTTTTCCTTCTATCCCTAGCTTACTTGGAATTTTTAAAAGCAAAAATGAATCTTAATAGCTTCGACATCTATTACATTGAATTTAATTTCTTTTTAATACAGAATTTAGTCATTTCTATTAATATTTTATATCCTTATTGAGCTGTTCTTGTATCCTGGAGTATGTCCAATTTGGTTGAGAGGCATTATTTTAACACACTGATTGATTCAATTTGATATTTTAATTAAGATGTTTGTATCCACATTAATAAGTGAGATTGGCTTAGTTCCTTCTCTCCTTCTCTCTCATTCCCTCTCTCCTTCCCTTTTTTCCTTCTTATCTTCTGTTGCCAGTTTAGGATCAGGTTAATTTTATAGACAACTGGTTTTATGGTCTGGAAAGATTAATGTAAGAATTATCTATATCTAGAAAATTTGGCATAACAATGGTAAAATAATCTGGGTCATATATATATATATATAAATATATATATATAAATATATATATATAAATATATATATAAATATATATATAAATATATATATATAAATATATATATATAAATATATA